GTGAAGAGGAATATTAGTGATCAAAGCAATACACAGGACAACATGAACAGGCCTAAAAACAATGGTACCTCTCCATTGTGCTGATACACCCTTCCACCCACTAGCTGATGCCTTGCCTTCCTCCACTGCCACCTCCTCTTTCACCTCCTCCTCCTTGCCACTGCTTTTCAGTTCTGGTAGCGCCCTGTACTTCTCCTGCACCCTATCACACATCTCCTTGCAGACAATGTACACCCACACCAGCTCTACTTCCTCACAAATGGGTGCATGTTGTGGGTACCTTGATCACTAATGCCAAAGAACTTTGCCCAAACAGGCAGTTGACAGCAGCAGGGTCATCAGGACAGGCAATTGTCAGGAGACATGTCTCCTTGGCAGCAGGGCCATTTGCTGTGTGGACTGCCCCACCATACATGATTCTTGTGTACTGTGGAGAAGAGTTGATGAATGTCTTCATGAGTGTGACAGCACTGACTAACACTGAGGAAGCTGAAGTAGATCTCCTTAAAGACATTAAGAGCTGTGAGCAGACTCACCTCACTTTGTTTCTCACCCAGTCCACTGGACACCACAATAATGCTGAGGGCAAACTAGATACACCATTTCACTGCCAGGGTGAGTGGTCTGCGCCCTACCAGCTGCTGAGTTCCCTCCCTACCTGCCCCTTGCATTTATCTTACCAGCACCTCTTACATCTTACCACCCCACAGCTACCTTGTCCAGGGCTTGGACCTTCCTGATCCTGCCCCATTACCCCCCTCTCTTCTTCCACCACTGCTTACCTCTGCAAGGCAAATCCAACCTACTACCAGAGGAAGAGGAGGTGGAAGAGATGAAGCCTTGTGTGTGGTGCTTTTGTTTAGCCTTTGCCCCTTACTCTTTAAAGAGAGCACCATTTTGCAGAGGTGCTTGTCAGCAACATTTTGACATTGGGACGCCAAAACACATGTGCATGGACACCTGACTATTTGTTTTATTCATTTATTATCTTCACGTCTGCAGACAGCT